GTTTAAGTTTATTAGATTGATACATATATACCAACAAGACAGTGTACATCACTGTCACAACAACGTTTGTTTTCATTCAAAGGCTTTATGGTTTTTCCTATAATACCTGGTGGGCCGGTCTCTAGTCAAAATGCCCGGGCTGATTTTTTGTCCCAGTCCAGCCCTGGTGACAACCTGAATTCTGAACACCCACTGACATGACTCTTGCTTACTCAAGGGCTCTGCTACTAGTCTTCCTCCCACTGTCACTTGGTGATCCAACTTAGTGTAAAAGTCAACATTGCAGTGCCATGGAGTGAAGCACATACAAGCATTTGATGAATATACACACAACTCTATTTTGCAGAATTAAAGGATTAAAGTAAAAAAACTGGAAGTAGTAAGGCATTGTGACCAATTTGCAACTGACTTTCGGGGATCGGTTACCATCATAAGTACAACTTCAAAGTAAAGAAAATCCAACAGAATCAAATAGAAATTAATACATGATTTTGACAGTCCTGACAGTGGTCCAACACGACAAACCTATAAATAGAGGGATGTTTCTCATTTACGGTATTTAAGTTTGTGCATTTATTTACAAATGTATTATATTATATGATCCAAAACAAATATACCTGAGTTTATGTGAACTCATTTAAAATTAACGTACAAGAATGCAAATTTTCATGTGGTAAAATTATTTTGATTTGGAAAATAATTCAGAAAGACCATTCAATTTGATTTTGCACCAAGCACCAGTAAACACAACTGAACACAGCACAAAAAAAAAAAAAAAAAAAAAACAGTGTAAACTGAAATAATCTGGACAGTACTGGATTGCTGTAATTATATCTTACATCTGTACATGTAATAGCAAAAAATAGAGAGAGAGGGAGAGATTTACATTTGAGATAATGAAATATTTTAAAAAGGCAGAAAAAACACATAATTACCTTCAAACCTATATTTGAGATAATTTAAGAATCCTGAACACCTATACAGTGAAAACAGTGAGTAACGATCAACATGTCTAAGTTATGACACTTCATTTTTTAACTTTATCAGTTAAATAACTGATGTATTCATTATACTGAGTCCATCGCCTGAAGATTATGTCAGAATGCATTCAATCGAATACGATGGTTGTCTGCCATTTGTCTTCAGTCATGTCTTCGCACTCATTCAGGAATTCTTGTTGAGGCTGTTGTGACATTCTTGAAACTATTATGACATATAATAAAGTAGAAAGAAACTTGGTTATTTGGGCAGTGTATAAAAAAATGTGTAATGAATGCTAGCAACTACACAAAATTGAAATAGAAACTTACCTTTAAACTTTTATCACCTAAATATAATACAGGCCATCTGGACTTATTTTATCATCATTTATTTTATCATTTTCAATTCTGTGAAATTACATCATAATTCTCGTCATTCAGGAACTATTTGAATTTTATTTCTAGACCAAACTGATTGAGGAGTTACAGTAATGCTAAGCGCTTGTGGTAAAATCTTGGCAGAGCTGATTTTTCTGTCTGTGTTCAGGAACAAGTACCTTTTGAATGCTTTGTGCTATACATAAAATATCCCTCAAAGCTCATCTTCTCTTCTTTCCAGAACCATTTTTTTTTGTCTGTAGCCCAAATGGTAACTGAGTCATTTAAAGAGTGCTTGAAATATGGGCCCACCCCTGGGCAAATTGTAAAAGGGTAAATATGTGTGAGTTCACGTATGAGGGACCATGTGACTGAGCATTGCTAAATTAGGTACACAATTTAAGTTTTCACATCCAGATTTAATTTGTTCTATGCTAAACCGCAAACAATATTAGGATTTACCATTCACTGCTTCAATTATAGGAAAGTATTCTTGTATATATACATATTATTATTATTATTATTATTATTATTATTATTATGTACATATTCATAAGCTGCTTTTACTGTTTTTGAATTCAAGAAATAATTAAACAGGAAAAAAGTGCTGTGAATGGATATTTATTTTAACACAATGAGTGGAATTAACATGCATAATATGCTGCTTGCAGATGTAGTCAACTCTTTCCACATTTGTACATTTCTAACTTGTAAATTATTGATTTCAATAGCATGAGGCAGAGGCTTAATCATGTTGACCAACATTTTCCAAAGTAAGTTAAACAATTTGCAACAAAGCAGGCAAGAGGAGAAACTTGCACACATTATTGCAGTTTCTTAACGACAAAGAAGGAGTCAAGTGGCACTATTCAACACAGACACTAAAACATCACCCTACGAATAGCATTTTGAGTAGAATGTCCACTAGTATTTTTAAGTCTTCATGTAGTACTGGCATGGTACAAAGCATCCATGAATGCATGTTTTCCACCTAACTTCATAATCTGCCCATTTGCTCACCTTGTTCTTCATGCTCTTGTTCAAGCTCTCTGTTCTCCTCCTTGTGTTGAACTAGAACATGATGAACATATAATCTTATATAAATATTTATAACAGCAGGTTGGAGATCCATATTTATATATAGTATAACACTCTGCTTAATGATTTCGCATACTTGTGCATGTCAAATCTTACTTGTTTCTTTTTGCTGACTTGCTCTTTTGTTGCTGTCTTCATTCTGATTTCTTTTCTGCTCTTCCTCTGTCTGTCTTTGAACTGCCACTAAAAATGTAAATGTAACAGAAATAGAATTTACAACCTAATAAATTGTCTAAACTGATTCATATTAATTTATAGCAATTTCTGTTGAATACCAGCTGATGCTGGACATCGAGAGCTAACATCATTTTCACTTATTGCCTCCTGGATCTGGAGGTTTACTGTAAACAAACAATGAAGCACAAACAGTATCGAAATAGAAATCTTTAACAAACTAAATTAATAAACTACATCTGCTCCTTGACTGGGAACTAGCAATATACCAGCAAACTAGTGGTTCTGAAAATTAGCTAATAATCTCTATCTGGCCTATATGAGCTAACGTTTGCAATGCTGCTTGGGGAACAAGTAAGTAAAAGTTCACATTGTCAGAACAGTTTGTACTTTTGCTATATTTCAGGTAAAGTGTCTTTAAAGTCAATTCGCTCTACGATTCAATTCAATTCGATTTGAATCAGGGAAATTTTGCCTCAGAAATATTATAATTCAGATCATGCATCAGTACATTTCCATATTTTTATATCTATAAAAAGAAAGCTGACAGTTGCGAGACTTGATCAAAGGTGTGAGCATCACAGCAGATGCCTTTGTGTCAAAATAGCTGAGGATAAAACACAGAAAAACATGAAGGTCATTTTCCTGGCCTGGGATTTTATAAAAATATTCTGCAGTAGATCACAAATGAAAGAAAACCATTAATCAACATATGAACATTACCTGATGCTGCTAAAGTGAAGCAGAGCAAAGTTACAGAGGTTTTATTAGAGACATAGCCAAGCATTTTGCAATTTTGCATAAATTTAAAAAGTTTAAGTTTGTTCAGTATTGAACTGCAGAAATGAGGCTTTCTTTTTAGAAGTAACAGCCACCAACAGCGCTGTAAATAACATAGACTTGTGCATAACAAGCAAGCGAATAATTCAGAAAACAGATTTTTAGACGGGAAACTGTTCTTGAAGTGTACTGTGAGAGAGAGAGAGAGAGGGAGAGAGAGAGAGAGAGCTGTGCATGAAGTGTGATTTTATCGTGGTGGAAGCAAAACAGCACAAGTAAGAGGGAATTCATGAAGATGTTTATGTGAAGTTTGGATCTTCTTTTGCTGCTGGTTCAGTCAAATAGTTTGTAGAGAGATAAAACCTGCAGCTTCAGAATCAAGCGCAAAAAGGGCTTAATCACAAAGCGCGGACCCGCCGAAACATCAGAATCAGTGAGCTATTCAAGCTGTTTAGAGTGATATGAATCATGTAAACTGCTCCTCTTCATATCAAAATGTTTAGAGTTTCAAATGGCATTTTTAAGTGTGTTATTGGAAAGTATTGATGAAATGCATGTAAAATTATTTTATGAAAAAATAAGCATTGTTTTCCCACTTAACTTCACTATTTGCCCATTTGCTCACCTTGGTCTTCCTGGTTTTGTAAAGCCTCTCCAGGATTGTCAGTTCTTCTTTGCGCTGGAAAACACACACTCTCATTAAATTCAACTAAAAAATAACAAGAAATATAATCTACTATTGTATTAGTCAGCAATGATCTCACAGTATCAGAACAGTTTGCATTTTTGCCATATTTCTGGTAATGTGTGTTTTAAATCTGCTGCACTGATTCATGTCATCAAACGACCTCTTTGTCTTTTTCTTCAAAGAAAGTCTTATTTATCAATGACAAACCAGGCCAGCTGTTGTAACATCATGGCATTCAAAAAACTGGACATTTAAAACTGTTTTCATTTTATCCTGTCTCCAATAGACAAGTTGGCAAAATATAGCATTAGAAGACAATGAGGGGTGACTGGGTTAAAGGGGTGTTCATATGGTCATACATTCATTGCCCATTAATTAATATTGATTGAATAAGCTGCTTGCAAATGTAGTCAACTCATTTCACATGTGTAAACCTAATTTCAGTCAGGCACACATCACAATTTTATCTTCAAAAGCAACTTAAATAGTTGGATTACCAAGTGCAGTGTCTAAAGATGATTCAGAATGAATCAACAAATTAGGTAAGTGGAGAAACATGCACACAATGTTTTAGTCTCTTAACCATAATAAGGGAGTCTACAAACAATGACCCTGTGTGATCGAAACAGTATCCAGTTTTTTCTATTTTTCAAGTAAAGTGTGTTATGAAATTACCTCCTCGTCTTCGTTGTACCAGAGTAACAACAGTCTGAGTTATACATGACAAGTCACCCTGCGGGCTGTATGATTGCACTGTAACATCAAGAAAGATGGACATCAAAACCTGTTTTCCTTCTACCCTGTCTTCAGTCTTCAGTTGGCAGAATATAACATTAAAAGACAATGTCAGAAAATTATACTAAAATACATGACAGTTGCCAAAAGAGGGTCTAACCTCATATTATCTTCAATGCTCTCTACTGCTCTGCACACAGAGGAGGAAACTGAATAAACATTTTCTTCTGAGGGTGAATTATTTTCCACTTACCTCGATAACGATAAATCATATAAAATATGATGCCACATATTCCAAAAGTGGCAAAGACCCAAATAACAATTTTTCCAGCACAGTACTGTGTCTCTGTTGTGGGTGAAGGTGGAGTCGTACAATTTGAATCTATACAGAGGAAGCAAAAACATAATCATCAGATATGTGAATTATCTGTGTCAACTGGTTTGTCCGTTTTAGTTTCAGTTTAGAGTCCTTCCAGCAAAGGATGCATTGACACCACTACTGGTTACTGATACAGGATCTTTTGTTTAATCTTCATCTCAGCCTATGTTGTGCTTATATGTTAAAGAATGTGTCCCATTCAACAACTTACCACAGATCTTACTCTCACACTTTGGTGTGACAGGTTTGGATGAAACACTCTCTGTATCTCTGCTGGAGATGCAGGTAAAACTGGCAAAGTTCTCTTTGGTGTTGACAAATGCAAAAAGCTGTGCAGAGCTGTCACTGGGATGACTCTTGTTGATGGTGAGCACACTGGCTGGTTCAACACCCCAGGAGAGGTTAACACCCTTATCCAGAGAAGAGCAGTTCACCACCATTAAACAGCCACTTTCTACAGATGTACTCGTGACTATCTGGATGGATGGCTGCTGGAGCTTTTCTGCAAGGATGGAGAGTGAAAATGATAAAGTAAAGACAAGCCTGTGTAGCTTAATTTAAACCAAGTAGTATATTTGATTGTAGACGGCTGAATTTGATATTTGTGCAGCATGGATGCATTCAAAATAGTCTGTAATAGTCCATAAATGCTGCAAATCTTTAAATAAGATAAATAAGAGATGGTTGATTGAGATGATACAACAAAAAAGTCAAAATATAAAGGATTTCATTATTAATACAGTTTTATTTATACATCACTTACGTTTTGCCGTAATTTTGATCTGATTCGTTTTGCGTTTACCCTCACTGTTGAAGACTTCTACAGTGTATTCAATGGCATCACGTTCCTTCAAGTTGTGAATTGTTAGGTCACCTATAGAATAAAATACATTGAAACCAAATCAAGAAAAAAATAAAACTACAATTCCTTTGCAATAAAAAAGCTGATAAATGTCACCTGATGTTGTGTTAAGAGTGAGTCTCCCTGTGTACTGAGGGACACGATCAGTGTTTATTTTCCCATTGCGATAAGTGGCAATCAAAGTGATGTTGGTGAATATTGACCACTCAATTTTGATGAGACTCCACGATGGGTCGACTCCTGAGGGCAATGTGATGTTTTCTCCAAGGTACCCAGAGACTTTTGGAGGTGATTTATCTACTGCTTCTGTCTGTACAACTTGTAATGCTGTCAAATAAATACAAAAACACATTTAGCAACACTGTACACATTCTCTCAGATTTAAACACTCAAAGAAGGAAGGAAAATAACTTCTATAAATACTCGTGACTTTAAGCTTCAAAAACTCCGCTACTCTGATATCTTTAGACATTTTTACAGGTTATTTTGTTGGAATTTTTAAATACAGAAATTGTAAAATTTTGTTTGCTTTTCATGCCTAAATATGACAGTTTCATAAAATGGCTAATGACAGCTATCTGTCACATAATTACACGATGATCAATCATTCAGGTAAGGAAATCCCAAAAGGTTGATTCAGTTCATCTAACGTTTTCTCCCACTGAAAACAATCAAATTCTTGGGATATTCTGGTGGTTTTTTGTGCAGCATTTGCAGTAGTTTCAACAATAAGCAGGCAATATTGAACATCTACTGTCAAGATATTTTTTCTTTTTGGTTCAAACGGATAATCCCAATGACTCTATCAGTCTAGAATGAGAATTCCTTCTGACATTTTATATTAATTAATTATTTTTTAAAGTGTCAGCTAAGGTAGACATCAATACAGATTTAAAATATATAATCTTTCAGGATAAAGATCAAAGCATTTCCAAAATCACACAAAAATGGTCAAGCTAATAGATTGTACAATAGGAATGTATGTTAATGAACACTAAACACATGGATATATGGTCTCATTTTCAGAAGAGTTAACAACTAGTTGTATGAGAAACGGAAATGAAGCCATGTGACAGCAGCCATGTCTATACACCAGCTAACCATCCTCCTTTTTTATAATACGTACAACAGTAAATAATTTCACTATACACACTTTTCTTGGAACAAATCTAAAATTTAAAGGGTAACATTTACATCATTTATGTCTAGCATGTGAGGCGATTAATTCAAAAGTTAAGTTTTGCACTACTACCTAAGAAACCAGGAAGTTACTCATTTTTAAAGCAAAATGTAGAAATATTTCAAAACGTATTTAATCTCCAGGTCTGGCACATCTGTGTCTGATAAATAGCTTCAGATAATGTACACAGGACATACCTTTAAAGAAAAGAATAAATAGGGTCGGTAGTCTCATGGTAGTTGACGTGAAACACAGTCAAAGTGCTTTGACTTCCTGATTTTTTTGTATTTGCTACATCGCTTCTTCCTCTTTTCTGCATCCGCATCTGCGCATCTCATATGTGTGTGTGTTGCTATTATTAATACATTTTTATTTATACATCACTTACGTTTTGCTGTGACTTGATGTACTTTGTCTTCTAAATATATAATCTTTGACCATAAACATCAATATATATATATATATAATATAATATGTTTTAAATATATAAATATTTAAAACATTTTTTATCTCCAGGTCTGACACATCATCTGACGTCAACACAGTCAAAGTGCTTTGACTTTCTGTAATTTTTGTATTTCATACATCACTTCTTCCTCTTTCCGCATCTGCCTCCATCACACTAACCCTCTGGATGTCATCCTGCACTACAACCATGAATATTTTTCCTTTTCTCCTCCTTCCTGACAGCTCCACACTCAGCATCGTTTGTCTAATATATACACATTCCCTCCTTTGAACATGCACAAAGCATCTTTGTCTTGACTCTTTGTCAAAACGCTCCACCTGAGCTGTCCTCTGATCTACTCTTAACGCTGTCTATTCTAGTCATGAGTCACAACCAATGAAAACCTTAACATTTTCATCTCAATGACCTGTCTTCACATCACTCTTGTTCTTGAAAATCAGTCAAAGTACTCTTTGTGTCAATCACCAAACTGTGTTAATGAGTTTGGTTAAAAAGCCTACTGCCCTGCCAGGTGTGTCATCCAGATTAGCTATCCTCTGCACTTCCTGATTCCCTACCTGTCTTCCATCTGGAAAGTGTTCATCACACCCATTCCCACCCTTTTTGCAAATCTACTACGATCTGTCTTTCTGTGTTTCTCACCATTAAAGCATACCTGCCCAACACCTCATCACCTACATGTCCATTAAAGTCAGCTCCAATCACCACTCTCTCTCTACTGAGGACACTCTTAACCACATCATACAATTTACTACAGAAATACTACACTACTTTTTTCATTAAATAACATATTCTTGTTATATGTTCATCACTTATTTCAAAATATTGTCCGTTATCAAAGTTACCATCCTCTTTTATTTGGTACATTTTGAATTTCTTTCTTTCAGTTTTTTAAAATGTATTTTATGGTTTCATTTTCAATTATATAGCATTTGTATTTTGTATTATTGTAGGTTATTTTTTCTGTAGTGTGGCAAATTCCAGTCAACTTTAGCTACATGGAATATCATGACTGTGGAAATTTGTCACCTCGTGTTAGGGCACACACACTCCTACGTATGTCAACCTCACTTCCTTTTTTCAGACCAAAAAACGAATACACAACTCAACTATCTGGTGACACATATGAGGTTTGACTGACATCATTTAATACTTTTTTTTTTTCAAGAGTCTTTTCTTAAGAGACAGTGACCTGCAGAGACAAGTGGTAATTTCAGGACATTAAGACATTAGTTTCATTACAACAAAGTGAGAGCAAAATACACCCAATAAAAAATACAATTACATTTTAAAAAAGGAAAACACTCAAACCCCTGCAGAAATGAAGGGCACCTATGCACTGAAACTCTTTTAGGATCTTAATTTGAAATACGTGCAGGAAGTTTTTAGGTTAAGAGTGGTGCTCACAGTGAGTGACCAAATCACATAAACAATACAAAACATGTTTTAGAAACAGTGAAATTGTCCTTCCAGACTCACTTAAAATTTCATATTTACTACAAAGTAAGCATTTCACCTTCTTCATGTGGAATAAAAAATATAAGAAGAAATAGTTCAAAGATGGTTTCATGTCTCCGCATTTAGGCTATGAAAGCAGTCTATAAATGTCAGGCAAACTTTTAGTAAAGTTTTCTGTTCATTCTTTGCCTTTTAAGGTCCGTCTGTCAGGAACTAAAAAAGTAAAAAAAGAAGATGCTAAAGAAAGAAAAGAGAACTGAGCTATAGTCTTAGAAAAATAAAGTGAAGCCTTTCAGGTCTGACTGCACATAGAAAAGGTCATTTAGAACAATAAAAATGCTTGAATATTTCCCATAGATCTGTCTTAGGTAAACAGTGCAGGAATATCATGTTTATTAAGAATCTAATTTAAAGAGCAAACAAAATGCAACAACGGGAACTAGAACCACAGAGCAAAGTTAACAGTCAGCAGTTTTTCAAGCAAGTAAATGGAAGATCGTCAGTAACGTGCTATTTTTGTGGCCTTGGTGTTTTTCCTACAAGTTCTATATTTATGTCAGTAAAGACCTTTCTGTGCCACACGTTTCTCTAATAAACAGTCATAACAATCAGGTTTTTAATACCACAAAGTAAATAAAGAACAAACAAAAGATACATTAAAAATAGACCTCAGGTATTAGTACATACGATGCGACATCCTGCCCCTCCCCTGCCTTGCCCGGTGCCTCTCCCCTCCTACACAGACGTCTCTGACTGAAGCTTCATGACAAACTTGTGGCTTTTAGGGTCAATGAACTCTTCGGCTATGTGCAAGAAAGGAAGTGGCGTTACTGTCACAATCAGAGAAAGGTCGAGGCGTTTCAGGCTGAAGACGTGGCCTTGGCGCAGAGAGGCGGTCACTGGCTCCTCGCTCACTAGTGTCCACTGGCGCCCTCTGTTACTGTCCAGGTACTGCAGGGTGGGGCCCGGGACGAGGTAACGCTCTAGGAAAGCCTTTAACCACGGCAGGAAAAATGCACAACAGTTTGTGAACAAACTCCATCAGACTGTTTAATGTGGCTGGATGTGATGTCAAAAAAAAAATGCTGCCACTATTTTAATGCTGGACAATTTCAATCACAATTCATAATCAAATGTAAAACATTTATAAAAGAAATGTTTTGGATTAAAGTCAAAAAACTGTTTTCATACTTTGTCCTCTTACACAAGAGCAGAATTCATTTATTTGAACCTTTAGCTGGAAATAGTGCATTTCTGCTTATTGTATCATATTTTTATTTCTACGTTCCTGACACAACGCTAAAGGGATGTGTGTCTCCTCCCAGGACTGAACTGGGGAAAATCACGCACACAAACTGACCCTCCTTACCTTTGGTGTCATATTGTGGGTAATGCAGAACTGCAGGTGGCTGATGATGCTCTCCATGCTGTAGTAAGTCTGCTGCCTGGTTGCACGAAGGTACTTCTGCATGGCCCGCGCCATGGGGGCAAATATGGCCTGAGCTGCCTCCCTGGGGTCCATCACCTCCCGCGGGTGTTTGGGAGACGAAGTGACTGCATCTTCCTGCTGATGACGTTTGATGTGGGTAAAAGCTTCTTCTACTGCCACCACCAGCCTGTGAGGATTAAGGACACCATGACTCCACTAAACCAATTTCATCTACATTACAATCTACAAATTCTATACTTCTATGTTTATTACCCCACGGGGAAAAAAAAGAGCATCATTTTAGGACTTTCAGGTAAAAACGTAATAATATGAATTCCACAAATGTAGTTAGTTCATGACAACAAACATCTTAACATCATTTTTTGTGTTTGTGCTTCCTTCTTAACTTTGAGTATGTTTATATGATTATGTTTTAGTAGGAAAACAACCTTTTAAGTTTAACCAAGTCTGCAACTTCTGCATCTTTGTCAGTGAATACTTCTGTATTCACACACCCGTTAGTACCTGGCTTTGCGTTTGCGGACCTTCCGCTCCACCTCGGCCTCTTCATAGTAGTACTCGTTGTGAGAGTTGTCTCTTCTCCGAGCGGCCGCTGCAATCATGGCTCTGGACTGGCCTGTGGAGTTGTTGGTGCTGTTGTCTGTGAACAGAAATGTGACATTTAACTCGTGAGCAGAGTAACACGGGTGGCTCTGATACTTCTGATGAGCTTATCAGTTATTATTTCATGTAGAATTTAGAAGAAATAAATTAATAGACTCGTGCTTGTGTGAAATTCACTATGCAATCTGAAGCTATGGCTTTACATGTGGAGGTGAAAACTCCTGCTTTTTCATTCAGCGTCATTTATTTCACTCGGACTGATAAGGTTTTTTCCTCAGCTGAATTGTTACCTTCCCCCAGGTTGTAGACTTTGAAAGCAGACATTTTCTTGGTGAGGATGGACTTGGGGAGGTTAAGCAACGCAGGGTTATAAACCGGAAAGTCGCTGTAGTACTGATCGAGAACCCACGCTGCGGCCCTCTGAATGCTGCATTGCACAACAAAGAGGAAGAAAGTTTGTTAAAACGGACGCAGAGTTGTTATCAGCGTCGGCAACCTTAACATCCTTGCTGCTTTACTGCCCCTGAAACAGGAAGAAACAGCAACAGTCACTCAGATGGAGTGCCGCTCAAAAAACGGTTGCTGTGGAGTGACAACGTAAATCAATCATAACAGCGTGAAACAAGAAAAAGTGCACAGCAGTGCAAGAATTATAAATCACATGCAACAACAATCCTCTGCTATGAAGTACGCTGCATTGGCCACCTCATTAGGAACACCTGTTCAACTGAATACGAACACAAATATCTGATCAGCCAATCACAGGGCTCTGCATTTAGGCATGTAGACATGATCCAGACAACCTGCTGCAACACTCAGATGGTAAGTGTAGTGGCACAAAGAACATGAAAGCATGGCTCCGTCGTGCCTTCATCAACAGTTCAGGCTGCTGCTGGTGGTTTGGTGGTGTGGGGGATGTTTCCTCTGCACAGATTGGGTCCCTTCATAGCAGCTGATCTTTATTTAAACACCACAGGCTGCATGAGTATCGTTGCTGATCATGTCCATCCCTTTATGACCACAGTGTTTCCAGCTCCATGGCAACACGCAAAGTCACAATATTCTTGGTTTCTTTAGCGTGACAATGACTTCACTGCACTCAAATGACCTCCACAGTCGCCAGGGCCCTATTACAGGAAGCAGGTTCAACAAACTCTTGAGTTTAAAAAGAAACTGTGGCTTGAATAACTGTGAGATCGACAATTTTGGAGTCTCCTGTTCCAGAAAGGCTGATCAGAGTTCAGTCCACTCTGAGGATGTTCAACCTGAGTTAAATGCAAAATGATCAGAGCTGAACAGCATCTGGGCCTGATCCCGTCTGAATCTGTGATCCTTATCAGCTCTCACCCATCCTGCTGTGCAATTGGACATTTATAGCATACGTCTGCCCTCCTGAGCTGTCTGGTCCATCCAGAGCTTATTTTTTTTCTCCCCTTCTCGAGTGTTGCTGGGCTGTTCCTTTTTCTATCTATAACGTCTTTAACTTGAAGATGACTGTTATTGTGATTTGCAATCCTCTAAATAAAATCATCACCTAATTATGGCCACATATTTTGCAGTTGTGTTGAGTTTTTAGTCCGATCGCTCTGCTTGCACCACCAGCACATGCTTGCAGCTTCACAGCAGAGCCAAAGGTTAAGAGGGGTCTAACACAAATAGCACGGGCGTGACTTCCTAACCACCCACAGAAAATGAAAGCAACACCATCCACACGATCTTTGCATATTTTAAAAACCACTCACTGCGGTTTGGTTGGTAACTGCAGGAAAACTAGAGCAATGACTAAAACTGAGAATTAGTGCAATGCATTGAGGTCAAGAGTCAAAGTTGTAGGACTGAACAGTTCCACCGACACTGTGGGGAAAACTTCGTAACAAAATCTGGACTTTTTTTTGTGGGTTGATCCACATGCGGTTTGGAGAAAATAATGCATGTGCAAAACAAAGTGGGCTTTTTTTGGACATCTTAGCAGTGGGTTGAAACGAACATGACCCAGACAGATCAAACAGTGATGAAATGCTGCCCCCTACTACAGCGTGGCCAAACTCTGCAGCAAGTGTCACTGAAATTTAAAAAGCATTATTTCAGAGAACTCGAGAAAAAAAAGAGACACAAAAAATAGACAAATACTCCTGATTTTCCACAGTTACTAACCTGAGATGTCCCACATTGTAGAAGCGGCTGACTCCATCTGTGCTCCTCACAACCTTCAGAGAGAAAGCAGGCTGCAGGTGTCTGACCTCCAGCAGCACGAGGGCTAGGTACTGAATGAACAACAACGCGTCCACCAGAGATGCCGCATAGCCCACAATCCCCCTGTAGTCTGTCTCTCTGGGCTCCAGCACCCGCACCCCATAGAAGAGCCAATAGGACGCCACGAAGAGAAAGACCAGCGCAAGCAGCAGACAGCGAAACACAAAGAAGCGTGGCAGAGCGGCTCTGGGCGGGCGGAGAAACAGCGCCCACGTGGAGATGAGGAGGATCAGGAGCTTGAAGGCGAGTGAAATGTAAAGGCCTTCGCACGGCGTGCCACAAGGGTCCAGTGAGTCCCGCCACAAGAGCTGTGGGAGGGCCAAGAAGGCCAGTGGAGTGATCAGAGAGACGAAGCCCAGAATGGCTCCCAGTGCTGGGCTGATGTAACGCCGGCACTCCAGCGCTGAAGAGTCGTCTGAGTCCTTAGATAGCTGCGTCAGGTCCTCGTTTGAGATGCTGTCCACGGAGGTGCCGGTGACCACCGTGGTCGTTTCACCCCAGTTGTCATCCTGAAGGAAGAGGTCAGTGTCAGAAATGCCGCGGCTATGAAGAACATTTGTTACAAGACTAAAAATGAAAAATGAATCTCTCACCCTGTCGTCCTCTCTGGGGGAATCTGCGTCCAGCAGCGACTCCCCCGGAGCCTGGATGACCACAGATTTCTCTCCACGGATGCTGCCATCGCGATTCTTAGAGCGATGCCTGTCCCTTCTCTCCCTGCACACACACAAGAAAAAAGTAGTTATCGTCTACAAACGCACAACATTTAATTCATGTCAGCAGATTTTGATCTGATTCTTCAGAAGCTGTTGTGGTGAAACTCTGCTATTTAAGAAAAAAAACATCATTTTATATTTTTCCATAATCTACTGCATTGTTATTATGAACATATAATGTAATTATACACTACTGTTTCATGTAACCAGCGTGTTGACTTTGTTTAGTGTCTTTAAAGATATGTGTTACTGTTTATTTACTAGTGAATGCCCGTGCTCTAGAGTTGTTTGTTTGATTTTAGTCAGATGATTTATATGTCAATTAACAGACTGTCCATTGATGACATAGCAATACAATGTGGTGAAAAAATAGTTGCTCCCCTCCAGATGTCTTAGTTTTTGGCATATTTGTCACACTTACATGTTCCAGATTCTCAAACAAATTCTAATATTAGACAAAGATAACTAAAGTAAAGACAAAATGCAGTTTTTAGACTACGTCTTGATGCGTGCTCAGTCATCCAGGTAAGTAAATCTCCAAAAGTTGATTCTGTTCATCTGGACGTAGCGTTTTCAGTGGGAGAGTTTGTGCTCCAGTGGATGATGAGAGTCAAACCTTAAATACTGATCCGCATGCGTAGGTTTATGGTACACGTCAGCTTTTAGATGTCCCCCATTACTGATGGAAATCTCACAGTCTAAGAAGGCTAACCTGCCACTTTTCATATCCTCCCTGGTGAATTTGATGTGTCGGTCCACCGAGTTAATGTGATCCGTGAAATGTGGTACATCCTGAGATTTGTTTTTCACCCAGGTGTCATCCACATATCCAAACCAATGGCTTGGTGGTGTTCCAGGGTAGGATAGCAAAGCCCTTTTTTCCACTTCTTCCATGTACAAATTGGCCACGATGGGTGAAACTGGGAGCCCATGGCACACCCATGTTTCTGCCTGTAGAACTGACCCTTGTATGTGAAGTAGGTGAAATGAAGACAGTTCCAAAAGCAAACACACTTGGTCGATGCTGAGAGTGGTCCTGTTGCTGAGGTTGGTGTCATCCTGTAATCTCTTACAAACTACCTCCAATGCTTCCGTGACTGGGATGCAAGTGAACAGAGATGTAACATGGTTTCATCTGCCTCCATAATGACATCCCTCACCTTCTCAACAAAATCCAACGTGTTCTGGACGTGTTCTCCCACTGAAAACGCTACGTCCAGATGAACAGAATCAACTTTTGGAGTTTTTAGACAATGATTTCATTATTAAGGGGAAAACACTTATCCAAACCTACAGCCTGCATTAAAATGCAAGTGCCCCTAAAACTGGCAGTGCCAAAAAACTAAAAAACTGAGCCTTTCACATGTGGAGGACGTTTTGCTCCGCTCTTGAGCATGAGCTGATGGTTGGATATTCTCCTTCAGGATTATCTGGTAGGGATCAGAATTCATGTCCCGAAGCAACAGAACAGCCCCAGACCATCACACTACCACCACCATGTCTGACTGTTAGTATGATGGTGTTTTTCTGAAATGCTGTGTCAGTTTAATGCAGATCTAACAGGACTCAAATCTTCCAGAAAGTTCAGCTTTTTCCCCCCAAAAGTCTTTGGGGTCAAAGATGTTTTTTGGTAAATGTGAGACAAGCCTTTGTGTTCTTCTTGCTCAGCAGTGATTTTCTCCTTGAACTCTCGCATGGATGGCACTTTTGCAGTCTATTTCTTATTGTTGAATCATAACCTCTGACCTTATCTGAGACTTGTGAGGCCTGCAGTTTTTACATGTTGTTCTAGGTTCTTTTACGACCTCCTAGATGAGTCGTCAGTGTGCTCTTTGAGTCATTTTGGTAGGCAGGACACTCTTCACCACTGTTCAAAGTTTTATCCATTAGTGGATAATGGCTCTCACTGCAGTTCACAGGAATCACAAAGCCTTACAAATGGCTTAGACATAACTGGTTGTTTGTCAGCCGTTTCTTTAAGTCATGGCATGATGTGTTGCTTTTTGCGATCGTTTGTAATTTCTTGATTTGACAGGTCTAGCAGTAATAAAGCCCAAGTGCAATTAATCACAGTTAATTCAGGATTTAACAAACAGGGCAATTCTTTTTTCACAGAGGACCAGGGAGGTGTGGATAAATCACACCTGCATTTCGTATATTTGTCTAATATTAAAAGTTTTGTGGATACAAATTAGATGTTACTGTTGTGAAATTAAAATGATTCAGTGGTTTTAGAAGATGTCAGAAGTATCATTTTCGCTTGTTGTCATGTGGTTGTTATGCACCATGATGATATGTGATCACAGTACTTGATAGTGATAGTTTCGCTGCTCACGTCCTAATCACAGATTTGGTTTATTACTGTAAGAGTTGTGACATCCAGCTGTAATATGACTGAAAAGTTCATCAATCATTAGAATTTAGATTTAAAGACCTCAGCTTGGCCTTTCAGAAATGCTCTGCTATTTTAAAACGGGGTGAGGACAATGACAGACACAAACACAAACACTGGACAGCATTGCTGCTCAGCTTGCTTCTTCTACCTGTGTTTGCGGGAACTCCTCGAGTGGGATGACTTGTAAGAGTATCCCGAGTACGTTGACTCGTTGTCCATGTCAGTGATCGGCGGTGGGCGGAGTTTCCGGGCCACTCCTGTCCCCAAACCGCCCTTGTCCCAGACCACTCCCAACTGGCTCTTGCAGTTGCTGATGGACTTGGTAGAGAGGGCCAGAGGGAGGCGCAGCAGATCCACTTTACTCCTGAGGGAATCTATCTTGGAGCCTTGGGAGAAGACGGAAAGATGGGGGAGGAAGACAGAGTGAGAGATTAATTATAGATAGGGAGTGTTTGGAAAAGGCATGGAGACCATTTGGGAGAGAGAGAAAGCTGAGAGAGGGGAGAGAGGGGAGAGAGGGAGAGCGGGGAGAGGAGGCAGAGAGATGAATGAAGAGAAGGAGGGATAGGAAAAAGATAATTTGTCATGTGAGACAGAAGTAAAACAGTCTCAGAGGGACACATACTGAGGAATGGCAACAAGAAGAGAGACAGCTTTGTTGAAATGTTGGCACTCTAAGTGTATGGAAGAGCATAACTGAGCCCATTATTCTGCCTTTTCTTTTTTTTTAAATGAGCAAACTGAGTGATTTGGCTCCAAGTGTGTTCTCAGCCAATGAAGGGCAACCACATCACCTTCTATTCTTAGGCTGCAAGTCTCCAGTGTGCAGGACACACAGGAACAGATGCCCAACATGGCAGCCGCTTGAAAATATTCCTGCTGTCTTATACGTGAAAAACTTGGAAACGTGCAGTTTTTAAAAAAAAGAAAGAACTTTGTTGCTTTTTAAAGTGAGCTTCATTAATTTCGGTATATTTAACCTTCCGTAGCGTTTTGTTGTGGGTCGGTCTGCGATCTGCATTCTCGCCCACATTCCCCAACTGTCCCCCGTGGTCTCCTGGGGCAACGGAGCTTAGCTACTACAATGGGGATGAATGGGAGGCTAGCGGTGAGAAAAGACAGGAGGGGGAGCAGTTGTCGTGGCGACCAAAACATCAACTCAGCAGCACCCCATCCTGTTCTCTTATCCCTCAACTGCACACCTCAAGACTTTTTTTAAAGTAAGCAAATCTGGCATCATTGTAAGGACATTCCTCTGAATCCACAGACCTGTAATCTGTTTTTGTTTTCATGCAGATAGAGCCGGGTTGTTTTCTCATGGGTACTTTCCAAACTGCCTGCAGAAAAAGCGGACACTTAATCTAATAACAAGCCACCTCGTGCTCTCAGTTTGTGCCGTGACCTGAAGCATCACATCTCCACATTAGAGACTTCAGGTTTTACTTAACGGCTTTCATGTGATTCAAACATGGACTTCTCAAGAGGGACATTTTGCAAGAAGGCGCATGAGTAGGTTTAAATTTTAGGAGATCGGACCACCGCTTTAAAAGGGAACCTGTTATATTCAACTTCCATATTTTTATTAGACTTCACTCATGCAGTTTTGCATAACTCACAGTTAAATATAACCCTCATTCGTTTTATACTGGGGCTCTGTGCACCCCCTCTCTTCACTGTCAAAAACAAGCAGTTTTAGTTCCCTTCCCCCTCCTTGTTAGACAAGTTTATTCTGATTGGCTGCTCCTAGCAAACAAAATATTTAAACAGCAGATGGGTGGGGCTTCTTTGTTCTCAGCTGGAGATGTGTGCCTTATCAGGGAACATATTAGGATATCTGCTTGCACTGACGTAATGAAGAAACACAGGTTGAAAGAAAACTGCGAATCCTGAGCTTCTGGTTCACAGCGGACAAACTGTTTCACACCTTCCTTTTTAAGACAGCTTTCTTCTGATTAACAGCCCCTTATAAACAGAAGACTTAAAAAGTAAGTTGGAGCTAGTTCTGTGTTTAAAGATAGAGCTATGTGTGTGAGATGATGATATTAGTGATACTGGCCTCTTGATACTGATACTGAAAAAGATATCCATGTACGTGTGGACGTGGCCTAGAGCTTGTGGCTCACATATAATTGACTGTACATACGCTGACCTGATTATTTAGAAATCTGGCCATGTTTTAGAACAAACAGTTAAACAGAGCCTTCAGCTTTCAGGCCCCTCCTCTGTGGAACCAGCTCCAGGTTTGGATTCATGAGAGAGACACCATCTCTACTTAAAAAGTGAGGACTTTTATCCCAATAAAAGTCAAATGTCTCCTCAGTTTTCATGTAAAACCTTCTTTGAATGTATATGAGGTAAAAGAGGGAACACATAAATGAAGTGAAGAGTTTAGCAATGAGTTGCTAAGCATGGTTTTTGTCTGCTGTGTCCACAGGGCATAAAACGGCATTCTTGCCTCCTTAGAGAGAGACATGGCTGTATGGACTACCTGTCACAGCACCATGCTGGGCAGAGCGCTCTGCCAACTTTCTGGATAAAAATGGAAATCACTTTGACCTAAGAACTCATATTCCCCGTTGACACGATGAAAAATTATCTTCAGAGCTGCTGCAGTTTGAGCATGATTCCTCTCATCAAGACAATTTTTTTTTCAAATACTGTCTCAAACAGAAAAAGGAGCATGAGAGAGTGGTGGTTACAAACCATCAGGACTGAGTGAAAAACAGCCCCACAGTTACCTCTGTGTGTTTACAGAGTGAAAACCTCCATGGATGTCCTTGACTACGGGAGGCATACTGACACATGCTCAAGTAGAATATTTTATCTCTGCAGACAAACACAAACTTAATGCAAAATGTCAGAATTTACAGTAAATGTTTCTGACAGATTGGAAACTATTTTTGTGCCATGAATGTGAACAAAACCAGCCCCTCATCTCTCTCTCTCACGCTGACAGGACACAGTTAGTCACATCGATCACACTGATCAGATAAGGCTATCCCACTGTAATCGATTCACTAGTTGATTTACACTGCAGTCCACTGTCATGTGAGATTTTCCACGTGCAGTGTGGAAAGGGGACTACCAGCACTTAAACTAAATTTGAATTTAAGAGGCCTGCCTCAAAGTCGTTGTTGTTGTCAGTGTTTACTAGCGTCCACTTCTGCTGATGCTGAGAGATAACTGTCTGTGGATTTGCATTTTTAAAAAGCTTTCATTGCCTTCATATCACTATGTGTCCTTCCACTCGTGTTTAAATAAAATGCATTCGTCAGCAGGTGAAACTTTGTATTTTTTAAATCAGTTTAGGATGTTTTTAACTCTCTGTCGCTGTTTAGCCTCATGTGTAATTCTGTGACTCACAGGGGTCTCCTGTCCTCCGGGTGGCAGTGAGCCAGCGAGGTGTGGGTTGCCTCCTGTCCTCACTCCAAGAGTCAACCCTAAACAGAGTAGTTGAATAATCCAGGACTCTACAAACACTCAAACAGCTGACATGATAGATGTGACAGCGCTTCCAGTGAAGGTTTGCACGTAACGCGATTTTACTTTAAGCGTCAAAGAGAATCGGTGTTGAAACAAAGCAGAGCATGCAGGCTGAAGTGATGCTGCTGTGAGCAGCAGACTGGTGACCAACAGCAAATAAGTTGGTCACCAGTCTTTTATTTCACGATAGTCTACCCACACGCGTGGCGCAAAGTGCGTCCTTAAGCACACTGTGCGTAAAAGTCCACGGATGAGAGGCGGAGCACCAGCTTCTATCAAGTGTTGTGGTGCTGGAGAAATGCATGCATTTTAAACTAGTGTAATACCTGCAGGAAGGTTTTTCCAGAGGTCCTACCTTTCTCCCTGAAGGAAAAAGCGGCAGCCTGCAGCACAAAGAGCCGCTGTTAGCAGCAGCAGCGGTGCCAGAGGGCAGCGTGTCCAACAAAAGCGACTCCAAACGCTCCCAATTCACTTTCTCTCATCTGTCCTGTTTCCTCGCTCATTTACAGCAGGAGCGAATGTTGAATCTCCGCTGTGCGCACACTTTGTTTTATTTTTCTCTTTAATAAAATCCTCCCAGCGAACATCAACAACAGGCTGCGGGTCAGACCTCATCCCCGATCTACTTCTGCGGTGTCCCGCTGTGAGGGGGGTCTCGCACGCACGTACTGAACCCGCACAGTTGGAGTATATTCTCGGCTTCCGGTACGGATTTTCATAATAAAACTGAACTTTCAAACTCAAAGACAATGCGAAAATCATCTCGAAACATTAAAAACTTCCCTGGATGTATTTCCACAGCCACCTGATTATTTATTTACAATCTCTTAACATGGAAACTGCATTTCATATCTTTTCCATATAATACAGAAAAGCAGGCTTACCAAGAAAGCCTTAGAAACTCTCATGCTTTTATTTTGAAACTATGTTTCCTGTCTTGTCCATGAATCTTTAATAATCTGGTTTCTAAGGCAAAAAAACCGCACTAATCAGACTTTTCTAACTTTTTCAGTTACAATCTATCACAGTCACACCTAAAATATGGGTTTTTGTTTTTTTTGTTTTTGTTTTTTTTTTT